ACTTCATGGGACCTTTCTCCTCTTCGTTCTCAAATTAGTATATCTTGGTAGCAGTGGATTACGTATCAAAATGGGTGGAAGCAGTTGCACTACCAACAAATGACTCAAAGGCAGTAATTGGGTTCTTGAAGAAATACATTTTCACCTGATATGGTACATTGCGGGCTATAATCAGCGACGGGGGCAAGCACTTCTGTAATCGCCAGTTTGAGCAGTTGTTGAATAAATATGGCGTTAAACACCGCGTTGCTACTCCATATCATCCACAAACCAGCGGGCAAGTTGAGGTATCTAATTGATAGTTGAAGAGAATACTTGAGGTCACTGTGAACTCATCTAGAAAGGACTGGTCTAAAAAGCTGGACGATGCATTATGGGCTTACAGAACAGCATTCAAGACCTCGATAGGCATGTCTCCTTACCGCCTAGTCTTTGGGTAAGCATGCCATTTGCCACTAGAAATGGAGCACCAGGCATACTGGGCTATGAAACAGTTGAATATGGACTTGAGCGCCGTCAGTGAAAAGTGCATATTGCAACTTAATGAGTTAGATGAGTTTAGAATGGAAGCTTACGAAAATTCAAAATTTTACAAAGAACGAACCAAGAAGTGGCACGACATGTATATTCAGAGGCGAGAGTTCGAAGTGGGGCAGAAAGTGCTACTGTATAACTCGAGACTCAAGCTTTTCCCAGGAAAACTAAGATCAAGGTGGTCAGGTCCTTATACTGTTACGAAGGTCCTACCATATGGGGCTGTGCAGGTGAGCCATGAAACTAAGGGTACCTTCACTGTTAATGGACAAAGACTGAAATACTACTGGGGTGGTAACTTCTCCAACCAAAAGTCCACCGTTCAACTCGAGATGCCAGAATGAAGCAGCTGCAGAAAAGTCGAGCTATCGACTATAACCTAGCGCTGGGTGGGAGGCAACCCACTGTATCCTTTTTATTTAATTTATTATGCTTTCTGCATTGAATTAGAAATTATTTTTTCATTTTGAAATTTTTTTATGTGGTCATCGATCATCCATACATGTTAAAAGGGTCCAAGCACTGTTCACACGAGTCTTTAAGCATCACACACGAGTCAGGTTGATTGGAGTAGTTTGGGTGATTGGGTGTGGAATTCACGCATTTCGAGGTAAATTTTGTATTCTAAATTTCACATGTCAACGTATGACTTTAAATTCAAAATTTGGTTTTGGGTACTAAGTTTAAGACCCATACACATCCCAAAATGTTTAGCAGTATTCTTTTGAAAAATTGGGGACATTGAGAACAGGGTAAATTCATCAATTGAAAACCAAAATTTTAGTCAAAAGTTGGGTTTTTGGGGATATAAAACGTGTTTTTATTTTATTTTATTCCTATTATCATTTTTTCATTCCAAAAAAAAAAAGGTGCCGAAACTCAAGTGGCTAATGCCACTTGAACCATGCGGCCGCAGGTTTTATAACCATGCGGTCGCATGGCAGAGACGGGTGTGATTTTAAAATCACACCCAGTTTCTTCTCTTCACAAATTTTTTTTCTTCCTCTCTTGGTGTTCGTCGACCATAATCCCCTCCCGATTCATATACAAATTTCACACACACATTTCTTCCCTTTCAATCACGTTTGCATTGCACGGCATTCATCCGGTTTACCACGCTATCCACTTTAAGGTAAAGTATTGCCTCTTCTCTCTCCTTCCCCCTTTTTTTTGTTTGTCTTTTGGGAATTTGGTTTTTGAATTCGTTCTTTTTATGAATTGAAGGAGAATGGGCTAGTTCATATAGAAATGGATTTCGTGTGATTGTGTTGTGTGAAATTTTTTTGGATGAATTGGATGTTAATTTCAATAATTTAGGGCTACTTCCACATGATGCACACCAAGTATTTGATAAAATGCCATAATAACCTTTGTGTACAATTATGTGCTTTTTGCATATATGTTGATTCACCAACATGGCACATGACATATTTTAACGGATTCCCAACTAATTTAAACTAGAAAACACCCACTTCACATTGCACCGCATAGGCATATGACTAGGTCACCGCACACCACGGCATCCTCCGTCCCTTATTTTACATCGTCATTTGACTAATCAAACGACGTCCAATTAGTTTGAAATTTGAGTATGTGCTACACTTCTATGAATACTTTGATATGCCCGGAGATTGTCCGGGACAATTTTGATAATTCTCAATGATGTCAAGGGCCGAAAGTGTGCACTCGGTCATGGTTCCCAATTCTGAAATGTTGCTTAGTTACGCCGAGTTTTTTCCCCCATTTTTCTTATTGGCAAAATACGTGAATTCAATTAAACATCACAGCTTGACTAGTGCACACCATATTACTACACATGCATCTAGGAAAGTTTGGGAAATTTGTGCAATGCATATTTTATTTTTCTCATTTCTTGCCTATGCTTTTCACATCGAGTTAATGAGTATAATCTTACAAACTTTGCAGGATGCCTTCTAAAAGAACTGTGCGCGGGAAGGAAAAGGCAAGCTCCTCCACTGGAACAGCCCGTACTCAGGGATCAGGAATTGCATTGAGCAAAATTATAGCCTTATAAGTTTTGGACACAGTCTTATCACAATTAACAATATCTTGTACCAATTTGTTAAACACGTCTAGATTGTCATCAATATCCTTTAAAGAATCCATTTTGAAACTGAAAAAAGTTCAAGCAGGTAAAGTTTATTCGGTGTAGACTTAAGCAAATACAAGTCTTCTAATTTCTTCCAAAGTTCTTTAGTGGTTTTCAGTTTACCCACCTTTCTTAAAATGACGTCAGATAAGTGTAAAATAATTGAGGTATAAGCAAGCTCATCGGCTTCTTCTCTTTGTTCTTGTGAAAAATCAGTTGAAAAATTGCCTTCAGTGGCTTTTGAAACCTTTTGTTGGACTAAAATACCCTTCATTTTTTGTTGCCAAATAGCAAAGTCACCATTTTCATTAAAAATTCCCAAATCAAAACTATGAGTTATCATCTTCACACAATAGTCAAAAATGCACAAACCACAATCAAACCACAAAAATTAGTTATAGGGTCACAGACAGTATACACCGTTCTAGATTCTTAGAGTTTTGTAAGACTCGCGATCTTAGATCAAGGGAATGTTCGAACGGGTAAGGTCACGGTATTTCTAACGGAATAAGTAAGCAGCGAAAATAACAATGGAGCAAAAAATACGTCTAGCAGATAACTAGTCCCACAGTAATTAGATCACTAAGAATTATAAAACTGATTTTAACCAAAAACAAATACTCAATCAAAAAGATCAATCAAGAGCACGTAACCCTAATTCTAGCACAAGCAATGGTTGCCAAGCAATGAAAACTCCCAACCTATTGTCACCCCACACGGTGACGCGCTAATACTGAAAAATTAACGGGTTAAGCCAATTTATTAGAGCGGACGTGTCTGAGTCCGTATAATCGAGAGAGATGCGAATCTACTGCTTTAGGGCCGCAATCTTGGCATAAAGTAATTCAGTAGATATATGCAGTTTCAACCGTCGATCCACCGGGGGCAAAATTGTCCAACTCTTTCTGTGTAACCTGAAACAGAAAATAAACAGTGTCAGTGCGTCCAGGGGATTAAAATGAGCAAACTGCCCGAAGGAAGTTCTCCCGGAATCACCGCCACGTGCCGTCGCCGTCGCGCGCCACACACGAAGGGGCGCCTCAGCCTGCTGGTTCCGAATATGAGATTGGTTTCGCCGAAAAGTGACCGGTTTGGTCGGAAAAAGGGATTGCAGGTTCGGTTTTACACCAAAATCGCGACTCCACCGCCGGTTTTGGTGATTTTCTGGCCGGGAAAGGTTACTCCGGCTCTGATACCAGATGTAGAGATGATTTCCACCGAACTCCAAATACAAAATCGGGCTCAGTTTACCAATTCATCGACACCACCAAGGTTGAGACAACTCCAAAACCACCACTACCGCCGCCCCACTTCCGGTTGCTCTAGGTTGGGGAGATGAAGTCCAATGATATGCCCACTAAAAATTAACCACAAAGGTCACAGTGAAGTGAAGCAAGAAGCCAAGAAGAAAGTCTCACAAAGAGAGAAAATTAGGCACACTCCATGGAGGCTGAGAGGAAGATGGGATTATATGCCAAGTAAATGTCCAAAATAGGTAAGTTAGGTTGGTTAAATTGTGGACCAAAACAAGGCTCGACTCAATTTAAGTGGGGTTCAAATTAATAATATAGCCTTCCAAAGAAATGGGGTGAACCGTGAGCAACACTATTTAAAATAGGTTGCTTCGAACAGTCCACATAAATGTGGATTGTGTTGTCTTGATAATTGTGTCGATGTACTAGTCAATCATATGGCCAAAGCCGATTGATAATAAAACCGAGGTTACATCATAGTTCGGGGAAGTCGTTTGACAACAAATTGACTAACAAATAGGAATGATGGAATAGAGAGAATTTAGAGGGAAAAATATCCATTTCAATTATGACATTACATAAGCACCCTTTATTCATTCATTCCCAGTACGAAAATTCTACTGTCATCTCCAACAGAAACCGAACCCCGGATTGAAAGCCACTTTTCACAAATGCTTCGATTCCAGTGGACTTGGATTAATTGATATGAGGGACCGAAGCTCCTCAATTTTGTCTAATGCTGCAGCATACTGTTCTTCAAGAGTCACATATACTTCCATGCCCTTGCCATCTCTGGTGTCGAGAAACATGACATCGTTGAGCTTTGGAGAGTTGCAGGAATCCGTAGACACATAATTTGCAACCCATATGGGCTTCCCCCAACCAAAGTCAATATCATATAAACCAAAATTGCACCAACAACTGAAATTCAAACAATTAGCCTCTCCAGGAATCAATGCATTAGTCTCTTCAAGATTTTTAATGTAGCCAATCAACCCTTCGTCACCCTGCATTCTTTTCACGAAGTTGCTGTCAATTCGTCGTATTGATTCCCTCACTTTTGTCATCAAATTCGCTTGATAATGGTCAGTATGGTTCATGCTTTAAGCTGCTGCTGCTGCAATATATAAGAAGTTGCCAAAACAGTTTTCGGAGAAGGGTGGCACAGCTCTACTTCTCAGGTCCACTGCATGCACCATTAGAGATGGCAAATTATTTGCAGCTGCACAAGCAGCCATGAAACATTTCCAGATTAATGCTGTCATGACTTGAACACGTGAACCGAGTGATTTCGCCTTAAGAGTTGATATGGCCGATGAATCGAACACATCTCTTTAATACGCAGTTCCCCGTGATTAGAAATGGATGAAAATTAGAAAACAAAGATTCTTCTGCAATTTTATCATTTGGTGGAAAGAGAGACGGAGCAATGTAATTGGGACATTGTGCTTCAATAAATGTTAGAACTCCAGCAGCAGTTGCAGCCCATGCTTTAAGAAATGAGCATATAGTTATTCCACCCGCAACTGCATGTGAACCAGTTAAGCCGATGACCATTCCACCACAATCAAAATGGTTTGCTTGTATCTTCAAAACATTAGTCCCCGGCGGAGCCCAACTCAACTCGTTTGGAAGGAAGCTTTGACCAAATCCAGATCAGGGTTTTTGGGAAAATCTGATAACTGACCTTTAACTTTGGCCACAGCAAAAGGGACTCCTCCATCATTGCAGTCGACAGAGAAACTTTCTCCGATGATTCCTGCAAATGGGTAGAAGCGAGTTAAAATCAGAGAAAGGGACTTCTTCAGAACAAGAGTTCTTTGGGAAAGAAATCCCGTGGCATCGCTCGAAGGTGCAGAATCCGGAAAAAAATAGAGGTCAACGGGTTGAAATAGGATGGAATGGTCTGATCTAGCAGGGAAAACTTGAAGGTTCGGAGGTGAAGAGGGCTTAATGTTCTCTCTTGATATAATCTCAATTTTTATTGTCATTGTGGTTTGAAGAAAACCTGGATCTATGGCCACAATATTTATAGAGTAATTCCTATTCTGATCACTCGTCTTGAGTATTAATTTATGTGGCAATTATATAATATTAAATGATAAATTCATTTAAATACAAAGTTATATATTTTATTTAATTGAACCTATAAATGTAACTATCTAGATTGGTACTAACCAACATTACTCCTTTATGTAGCAACAATTCTTGAGTTTGTGAACACGCGTCATACCAGTATCCAAAGCATACAACACTTAGTACTTCCATAGTGATCCTTCAAAAAATTTTACTTATTAAAATTTCTTTTAATTGGAAAATAAGATGAAAGTCGGGATTTAAATCAATTATTGAGGGATGAAATCAGAAATTATGATTTATTATGGGACTTTTTTGACTGAAATTGAAAAGTTGGATTGAGTACCAATGTCCTTATTAGTCCAACCAGACAGTCAATTTTGAGGTACTGGTAAGACTTGAGTGTTTGTCGAAATTTTATAATTTTAAATTATTTACAAAGTATACATTAATGAAATCTTTGAAATGAAATTTTTTTAATGTATTTGACTCAGAATCATCTCTCAAAAAGAGTTTCGAAAATGGAACCTCAAACTAATTTAAACACAAAGATTCATGTAATGAGGAATTACAAAAATTCCTTTAGTCACACAGCCATGGCGCGTAACCATGAAATGGAAAAGTCAACTTGAAATATTTCCTAACTAACAAGAATAATTCTCCTGACTAGAGTACGATATTTGGCATGTACAAGAAATCAAGAAGCTTTTGGGTCTAATAGAAAATTGTTAGAAAGTACATGGATGATGGACCTAAGGACAAATTATCAAAACTTTCCCATTGGTAAAGAAAATATTATCAGAGTGCAAATAATAATATCTAAGATTTATTATTTGAGGAAAGTCAAGTAGGATGCAGTTTAGCGATTCAAAGAAAATTAAGGATTAAAGTTTAAATTATGAAAGAAGTTTTAAGAACCATAATTTCAATTAGAACAATGTTGTCTAGCCTAGAATAACATTCTAGATTATATCATTTGATAGATTCAATTAAATGAATCATGTGACATTGTATTTAAATGAATTCATTGTTTAATGTCATACAGTTGCCACTTAAACTGATGTTTGACACCTATTGTGCCGAATCGCATAATTCTTTTAATTATTAAAAATGTTGTAGTGATATGATTGAGGGATCAAAGTGAAAATAAGAATTAAATTTCATATTTTTATTTATTTGTGTCAAAGTTAATTATTGGGGGAACAAGAATTATCAAATAAATATGGGGTATTTTAAAAAAACGTCTAATTTCATGGGTGTCAATTGAAAAATGTCCACTTTTTAAATATAGCACTAAACTTTCTGTTATGCCCTTAATAAAAAAAAAGAAGCAATTTATTTATTTTTTCAATTTATTGTGGATTTCGAGAAGTAGCTTCCATGAGAATGAGAATCTATAGTAAAATGATGTTATTGACATTTCAAATGTCATTCTCGATGTTTGAATCCCGTTTATATTTTAAAATTACACATGTCAAATCATAATATTAAATGTTCTCGACATTTTAAATATCTAGAATGACACTTCATTTCGAACATAACATTTCTCTACACTTGAAATGTAATTCTCAACGTTTCCGTGTCAATGAGAAAAATAGCATTAATTTTTATTTGACATATGCACTTTTGAAATAAATATAGTAGGTTATGTGTCAAAAATTTATTGGCCAATAAAATTTTTGCAAAAATGTATATTTCTTGTCTTTGTGTGGAATTATCCAACTTAGGTAAGTTTATCAAATTAATCAATTCCAAATTATCAATTGTAAATTATCAAATTAATTCATCATGTTTTATTTATCGATCATAGATCACAAATCACATATTTTATAGGTCACAAGAGTCAACTTATTTATTGATCACAAATTATTAATTTAATAGGCAACATATTATTTCTCGATCACAAATCACATATTTTATAGGTCACAAAACTCCACTTATTTATTGATCACAAATTATTAATTTAATAGGCAACGTATTATTTCTCAATCACGAATCATTGATTTTATAGGTCACAACTTCTTTAACGGTCGCAAATTATCAAATTAATTGGTTACATCTTAACAAATAGAGAGTCACGATTACAAATTTAGTTGCAATATCATATTTTGTAGGTCACATATTATTTATTGGTCACAATTTATCTATTTTATTTATCATAAATTAACCATTTTATTGATCACAATCACTCAAAATTGATCAGAAACATTTTTCACTCCACCCCATCCTAACCCAACCCAAACAAAACCCACTTCACCATTGATATGAACGAATTGCTGCGCCACTTCAAAAATCACTGCCAGCCCTACCACCACCCACAACTAGCACCATTACCATCTGCACCATCACCGGCATTTTCAAACTACCCGCCACCACTAACAACCACCATTTTACTTACCAAAGCATCATCGATTCTCACAAATTTTGAAAAGCCTTGATGGAAAATCCCGACCAAGCTCTACTAAATGTCCTATTGAAAATATAAACTAGTTGTCCCACCACCAAGAACCACACAATGAGTTCATTACCACGACGACTACTCGCAGCATCTTTGCTTTGTGCAGCAACATGAGCTCACTACTTTGAGCAGTGGTCCTGCGCTTGATTGTGATTATAACCTGAATTATGAAAGACAAAACTTAAAATCTTATTTGTGAAATGAAAACTTGAAAATAGTCTTAGGTGTCATTTTCATTTTTTTTTTAAAAATATGGCTCGACCTGATATTAGAATTAGTCTGTTACCCATTTTCTAATATTATTATTGTCAAAGTGTAGAAGTAGAATTACTTGAAAATTGAGAATTTTATTTAATTCAATAAACAAGATCGTCAAAATGTTTATGTGTATGTAATATCAAGAACAAATGATTCAAATTTTTACCTAAATTCAATAATTAACTCTTAAATTAATTCTGAATCATGAGCTTAAGCTTTTTAATTCCAAAAACTTAATGCTCCAAACCTCAAAATCTTCTGTGGTATTCTCGAAAGTCGAGACTATACCGATGAGTGAACACATCTTTTAACTAAATCATAAAACTAATTCGTGGACTGGATAATTGAATAAAGTAAGAAAATAATTATTCTCTCTATTTTCGCTATCCAAAATTTGATCACTATGGAATTATTGTATTATGATTGTTATAGAATTTCTATGTTCATCTAGTCTCTATTTATAAAGATAAAGATGTTCCGGTCCATGTACAATAATAATTCCAATTTCAAGTAGAAATCTTAATTATAGGAATTTTGATTAAAGTCCACATCCAATTAGTTTACACTTAATTATATTCATAGTCCTAGAACCTTAGTTATAGTTATAATTAAATTTTCAACTTTTATAGAAACTATAACTAAGTACAAAATATTATTGTAATTACAATTATGCCCAGTACTATCTCAATACTTTATAGAGCTACTACAGAGACCTGATCGGATATTTATTATCCTAACTTCAATAATTAGATAATGTTTAGTAGACTCTAAACCATCCAATCCAATAATTAGTCTTTGCTCTTTTTTTTTCTTTTTTTTCCACTAAAGAAAAAAGACTGAACTCTTGGAATATATTAAATCATATAAGTCAATAAATCTATAATACTTTCATCTAACTTGCCATACATGTATTTATTCCCATCCGAGATTCAATAATTAGGTACGAGCATAAATGATCATTTTCTCATTATAATTATTCTTACTAACTTAATCACGATTTCCCACTTTCTTAAGTGTTCAAGTAGTGTGCCATCAGACAAATAATGTTGAAAGCTTTCTTGGATCACGGGATGTTCGAAGAAACCAAACTATTGTTTCTAAAATTATTGGAAAATGGCAACCCAGTTTACTAGAAATAGGATTATAAAGATAGAATTCTACCTGATATTCACTCATTCAACACAATGTTAGATGCATGTGCTGCGGTGAAGAGGTAGGATGATGTTGAGTTTGTATACGCACAAATGCTGCAATATGGACACCATTTTCACTGCTAAGTTTCACCGTCAGATCATATTGGATGCACGTAGAGCTAGAAAGGTATTTTTTTAAGCATCCTTATTTCATTTATAATGCCTAAAATTTCACAAATATCTAAAATAGAGTGTTCTTTGGGAACTAATAAAGACTTTAAATCGGGAGATAAACAACAAATGCTGCTTTCATGATTGCATATACGTTGGGCAAATTTTACTACTTTTTAATGTAGTTGTATCTGATTAAAATTTGACTGCAAAAGAAGTTTGTATTTATTAATTTATTGAAATATGATGTTAGTTACTATTAAATTCTCTCAGCACATAATATTTTGGCTTTTCTAGAAGGAACTGTTTGAAACAACATAGAAGCACTTGGTAGAGGCTAAACGGATTCCACCACCTACTCTTATTGAAGAGATTTTTTGCTCAAGATTGGAGGAGGGGTGACTATAATACTACTCTATCTTATTATGTTAGTTCTCCTGGGATTAAGATACATTTATTTGCCTAAAAGTATTTGACAAAAATTTTAACGGAAAATGGCCATTTTAGTAAATGCCAAATTTTCCATGATTTGATAGACTTTATCCGCTAGCTTCTTTGTAATAGATCTATCACATGCGAAGTCAACATTAGCCTTGCTTGTCGAATTTAGCCCAACATAGAAATATAGTACTACAAGCCATTTCTGTAATTCACGCTGTGGACATTGGTGGAGTAGCCACTCTTACCTTTCCCACACTTCGTAACAACATTCTGAATCCAATTGAGTGAAAGTAGTGATCATCTCCTAGTTTAGCAATCCTTTTTGGCGGAAAGTATTTATTCAAGAACCCTAGATTAGACTGTACTAGCTGATGATGCTATGAGGTGGGATCCCTAGTTAAGTCTCTTAATGTGTAAGGAAAAAGCCTTAGTCAAATTGCATCGCTTGATACTCCTAGACACTCAGTGGTTGCACACATGTCCAAAAACCTTGAGATATGAGTGTTGGGACATACAGTTGCTCTTCCAAAAAATTATAAGGTATTCTGGAACATGTTGAAGACATCCGTCCTCAGATGGAAGTTAGCCTGATCAAACGCTAGATACATGATACTAGATTCGCTCTCCACAACTCGAAGAACTATGTACTCTCCCATTAGCCTAGCATATTCATTAGTTGCAACCACATTCGGTTGTGCTGTTCCCAGATTAGCTCCAATAGCTATTTGATTTGGATTTTCCTTTGGCATGTGTCCCTTTTTATGTTTTTGTTGTGCTTCCAAATGTTTTCTTCTTCGAAACCTGAATGTTCGTTTGATCTTCGGGTCAAATTGAGCAAAATCTCCGAGTTTCAAACTTTACATAAAAGATCCTGAAAAAGAAAGGAAGAAACACAATAGTATTTGTCTAATAACTAAATCTAACTAAGAAAGCAGTAAAAATTCAAATTAAAGCTAGAATTAGCCCTTGTTTGAGCCCTATTGTTGGGGAAAGAATGCAATTTGAATAATAGATTGATGAAAAACATGTGATTAAAAATTAAGAAAAAGTTTTAGGATTACATGTAATATTATTTTATTGAAGAATTTTTGATTGAAAATGAGTTTTGAAAAAAAAAATGAATTTTTAGAAGAATGAGGCTTAACTAAAACTAAGCCCCTGTTTGACCCCTATTATTTGATCTTTTAATTTTTGGAATAGTATTTTTTTGGAAAGTATGTGGTTGAAAAAGAATGAAATTATTTTTTTTACTGGGGAATTTGTAGTTAAAAAGAAAAGAGAGAAAAATGTATTATAAATTTAATGAGGCTCAAACGATGGCTAATTAAATACTATAGTCCCCGTAACGGCGCCAAACACTTGACCTTTTGAAATTTCGCAAGTGTATGATATTGTAATCAAGTAATAAAATGGTGAATAGAGTGTCGAATCCATGATAACTAAGAGATTAATTAAGTTAAAACTAATAAAATTTGTAATCGAATAGCAAGCAAGTTTAGACATATTTATTCTAATCTATGAATAAACCATCTATTTTTAAGGTTAAATCAAATGAGTTTTTTTTTTTTAATCTAATATGTGAGAACAATGCTAAGACGTTGAATCTCCCTTGTTAATCCATTTTCAATACAATTAACCATTTTCACAAATATGTGTGAAGAGTTGTGAAGAGTTGTTGATTAATGTTCTAAGATTAATTGAAAACCTCTCTCCATAACCATCTCGATGAAGAATGCGAACATGGAAAAATTCATTAAAAGCTCTAGAACACCTGTAAAAATCGTATAAAGCATAGATGTATATTTTCATCCCCTATCGAACTTTACAATACTTATTATTTCAACTAAAAACCTATTGTTTTTCTCGATAACAACCAATTCTAACATATCATCTCAATTAGTAGCTAATTAATTGAAGAATACGGTGAAAATAATAATAAACATCCCATCGACAAACAAACTTAGGTGTCAAAATAATTAAGTAATATCAAAACAGTATAACAAGGGTTCACCTATATCTTAGCATCTAGGAAGTTAGCCTAACATAGCAAAATTACAGGAAATAATCTTTGTTTGAGAATACATCACCCGGAAATCAATAAAATTGAATAAAAGAATAAGGATCTTGAACTTCTTGACTTTCTTCACAAAGTTCTTGATGAATCTTGAATTAGTCTTCAAATTTTTGCCCAAAAATCCAGGTAGAACTTCCCTTGATTAAATTCTTGCAAAGCCCTATGAATTCTTCATAGTTCTTCAACAAATAGCACTTGATTTTTTATGATTTGAATGGATGAATGTTGAAAAATTTTATGCATTTGAAGTATATGTATTGTGTACAAGAGGGGAGAGTTTACGTAGGAGACATCCAGGTATCTATATAGGTTGAGTTTAGGTCAAATATCTCGTAACAATCCTTGCAATGTTGAATTTGAATCGAAAAGGGAACTTTCTATTCGCTTGCAAAAATAGCCCGCACCGACATAACTATCGCGCTTGCCATTGAGCCAAATGGTTCTCAGGTTGGTGAAAATAGAGTGTCACATGCACGTCACGAATTGCCCCCGACATTCGTCCATTCGCATTGAACAATTTTCGATATTTTGGTCATAAATTTCTCTCCTGCTATCCGATTGAGGTGATTCAAAGTACTTTAGAAAAATAATTCAAAGGGATACAATTCTCCTAGTAATAAAATTTCCTCAATTTGAATGTTCGATATCCGAAAAATGAGTCTCAAGTTCAGACTAAAAATTCGGAATATAACTTTTTCTAGCTATAAATTGATTTGTAAGAATACTTCGGCTATATTTTGTTCCTTTGGCTCCAATTGCATCCAATTGAACCTTTTGCAAATTTGATCTTTGCTTTGTGGTTCGAGTCAACTATTGAATTGTTGCAAGTTGATCCCCATACTTTCGATTTCACACTTTTCCTTGATTTTTCCTTTGTTTCTTCCAATTCTTCGTTCAAAAGTTTTACCTACATAATATAAAATACAATAATTTAGGATATATTTTTAGAAAGAACTACCAAATATCGATAATTTAGGCCCCGAATAAGGGGGTATAAAATACACTTATCAGCATACAACCCAACAATTATCCCATTTCCAAACAAACTTCTTTATTGGCCTAAATTTTTGTTCGTAAAAAGCCCACAAGGGTACGGGATCATTGTACAAGTAATAGGATTTGTGAGTTAAGAGTATTCCCATGAAGAATAAGGTCTAATATCTAGTTCAATAGTTTTTATCAAATTCGAGGCGTGGAGATATCAAAAGAGTTGTGATTTGTATATTTTCTATACTAATCCTAAATTAACAAATCAAATAAACTATTTATTTAATATGTAAATATTTGTATTGGAATCGTGAATACTCCTATTGTCATTTAGTTCAATTCTTAATTCGTAATCTAGTAAATTCATGCATTCAAGACAATCGATTATCCACTTTATTCAATATTTTTTTCCAAGATATATTAAACTTATGTTTAATACGACCTGATCCTATTCCTACCGAATTCATATGAAATATATGCATGATTAGCAGAATTTATCACACGTTATTGCACATGCCATATATTTTATTCCCAATACTTATTGTCCATGTGTTGATTTTGTCGCGTTCTACACTTATTGTAAATATTCTTACACTAAAACAAGCAACTTACAATCTAAATGGTGATCAAGCAATCAAATAGTTCAATGAAAATGCAAAATCAATCAAGAAACATCATGAAAATTGTCTTGAATTAAAATAAACAAACAATAGAGGTTCATCATTCATCCAATACAATGAAAAACTAAACATTCTTATAATTAAATCACATAAAAATAATTTGAAAAAATCACCCTAAAATAAGAAAGATGAAAGAAGTAGGAGAAATCCATGTTCTAGGCTCAAATCTTGAAATTGGTCTATGAATTTTCAAAATCATTGTATAATTTGCCTTGAATTGATGTATAGATTTGTTATTCGCCTCCAAAATATGTAGAAGATGATGAAATTTGGGTCGAATGGAGGTTTTCAATGATAAAGATTAGGTTTCCCCTGTTCTGAATGCATTATAGTATTTAAAGGATATCCAAAAGATTGTTACCAAAGCAGAGTTTCAATTAGAAAAGAAAACAAAATCTCACCTCGGAAAAGTACTATACGGTTGCATAGTATAAATGGAAACAATCGCATAGAAGAAATCATAACGGGTCTCGGAAGCACTAAAGGCATGAATACGGATGCATTGAATTAATACTATGCGATCGCTTAGATATACTTTTTTCGCTGGACAGTTTTCAGTATATTGATCATATCTTTCTCCTCCGATATTCGATTGAGGTGATTTGAAGTGTGTTAAAAGGATAACTCAAAGAGCTAAAATTACTTTATATATAATATTTTCAATTCGAATGTTTGCTATCTGGAAAATGGATCTCAAGTTGAGGCTTAAAATTTGTAGCATAACTTCTTCGGCTAGAAATTGATTTGTGATAATACTTTAACTATATTTCATCCATTTGACTTATTTTCTCATTCACTTGACCTCTAACACTCTCAAATCTTCATCATGAGGTTCGACACAACTTTTGAGTATTTGCACTTTAGCCCTTGAACTTTGAATTTGCTTCATTTCAGCCCCTTTCTCTTGTAATCTTGTTCCTTTATCTTTCAATTGTATCCTTTGGCATTTTTTATCTTCATTTTGTTGCCCTCTCATCTATGAAGTGTTTACAATTTACATCCTAACTTTTGGATCACGCCATTTTTCACTCCTTTTGCATTCTTTTCTCCAATTCTTCATCAAACATTGATATTTACCTATAAAATATAATATAACATAAGTTAGGTAGTATTTTATCGAAAGAACAGTAAAATATCATCTTTTAAGACCTCGAATAAGTGTATAAACTATACTTATCAAACTCCCAAACTTGAATCTTTATTTGTCCTCAAACAAAATTAAAACCTAACAAACATACAAAGACGCAGTGCTAAATTACCAAATTGGTGACCAGTCAATCAAGCAATGCAAAAAGATTTAGCTAGCTAACCTGACTTTTTATCTCAGGATTGAAATCATAGTATCACATCTAGGGCTGGGCAAATCTCCCGAACCGAACCGACCGAACCGAACCCAACAGTTCTTGTCAAATTAAATACCCGAATGGGTATCTGAATTGAGAACCGACGGGTACGGTTCGATTCTCGGTTCTAGACCAAGAACCGAATCTTTCTAATTTTTTTTATATTTAGTAAATCAAATTATTTTAATTTTAATTTTTTCTAAACAAATTAACAAATTAACGATTTCTAAATCCAAATTTTTGGCCCAATAATTTGTTTCATTTCTAATTTTTAATTTTTGGCCCAATTACCCATTTTATTGTTTCATTTCTTAGCCAAACAAGATCAAATCCACTAAATAACCTTAAACACCTACACTAAAGTGCATAACATTGTCTCGACTCTCGCACTCACTCTCGTAGCCTCGCTAATATTCCAAAACCTATACAATCGTCGGCCGACACTGTGACCTCCGATCGAAACTGTGACTTCCGTCGACCGAAGCTTTGATCATAGCGATCATTTAAACAAGTTAGTTTACTAGTCTCTGACATTCAAAAACCATTGAATGTATCAATAGTTGTTTTTATATAATGTTGTTATAAATGTTAAAAAATTTAATTATAGTACAGAACCGAACGGAACGGAACCGAACCCGAACGGTTCCATAATTATATTTGGACCCGACGGTTCCATTTACTAAATACCTAAAAAGTTTGGTTCGGTTTGGTTCTCTTTAGAACCGAACCGAACCGACCCGCGCCCACCCCTAATCAAATCTATGTACTGCTTCAAAATTACAATACAGAAATTAAAATCTATTTTCCAATGTAAAATTGACGTGTGTGTGTGTGTGTGTGTGTGAAGAATTAAGCATAACATCATGAATTCACGGGTAGTTTCAATTCCCAACTCTCAATGGTCAAATACATTCTTTTATCACTCTTAAACTTCACACACCCCAAACTTATTATTTTCGCTCTTTTCAAGTGTGTGACCTATGTTGAATTTTTATACTATCGTCATCTCTTTAATTTAGGTAAATCTCATTAATTGCAAATCAATATGTCAAAAAACAAGGATTCTCCATAGTTTGATTATTTTGACTTTGATCCACTCTTTGCTGTTTTTACCAATTTCAATACTGCCTCCTCGAATGTGATATGACTTGCATATCTTATCCGATTCAAATTCAACTATGTAGACTTCTTTCTCCTCTTCGGGCTTAATTACAAATTAAATGATACGGCGGTAAATGATGTCGATAGAATGTGGGTTAACGTCTCATTCATTAATTACCTCCTCTTCATTATGTTCATTTGTAATTGAACTTTAATCCTCTTTGCTCTCATCTTCTATAATTGATATCTCCTCAGATTGAATGGCCAGTTCACAATTTAAATCTACGGGCAATTGAAACTCTCATCTTTCATACTTTTCGAGAATATTATACCCCCACCTTTTAAATTCATACCAGAATATGCCATCTCCCACATATAGTTTGTTTTCATCCAATTTGGCAAGATCAATGTAGTATTTTGCAAGTTGATGTGATTGAAGAGTTAAGCTTGAAGAAGACAAGTTTGGAGTGAGACCCATTGATAATTGAAGGCGGACTGATGACGCGATCGAGGGCAAAACGAGTAAAACAAGCGATGGGATTGTTCATTCAACAAACAATTGACAAAACATTGTTCAAAACGCAAAACGGGGCAACTTTCATGTTGGGGTCGAGAGTCGAAGTGAATTGGATCAACATGATACAAGCAACAAAAGTTGAAGGCCAAATTAATAACTATGCGGTCGCATAATTGACGAGATTTTCCTTTTTCGACGCGAACTTTCCTCATTTCATTAGAATTTTATTATAAACAATATTCTTGTAATTTTTAAATCCGTTTTAAACTAGGATTAGAGTTTTATTCCTTTTAGAATTAGTTTCTAGATCTTCATTAGAGTTTTATTTCTATTAGAATTAGTTTCTGGATTTCTACATATAAATAGGTTTATTTTCATTGAAAAACATTACACACAACATTATTTTGAGAGAATTCAATAAAGAGAGGCAATTTGCTTTCTTCACGTCGTTCTTCATTGAACAATTGGAACTTATTAAGAGTTACAATCTTGTGGCGTTCTACATCCGGGTACGGGTCTTAATCATGTGATCAAAGGGTCTTTCAAGCTTTGATCTTGTTGGGTTTTTTGGTTCATTGATTCGGGTTCAAACTCTCAAACCTCTTAATTGGCTTTTCTGGGGTTCTAACAATCTAGTTGTGAATTTCGTAGTCAACGTTGTTACGGGGTTCACATCACAAGTACCTCCTCGTTTAACACAGAATAACCAAATCCCACAAGCAGGGTTGGTCTTGTGATTGTCGGGGCCCGAAGCGAATTCCACAAATTAGGTCCCTAGCGAAATCAACATAAGTACAAAATTCAACAGTGTATTATGCGACCTATTGTAAACTTAAAACTAACATTAAAATAACAATAAAATATATTATAGAAAAGATTTATATTATAAAATAACAAAACCAAAGATTTAATCATAGAGTGAAGGAACTTGTACCAAGTGTGGAAGTCCAGATTAAGAAATCAGCATAATTGACTAAAGATTTATTATCAACTAAAATTAAAAATTTACTTATATATTAAAATACTACTTTCTGTACCTTTTAAAGCAGATCTTGAATGAAAGAATTGTGAAATGTAGTAATATCTTCACAAAGTTTTTGTACAAAAATAAGATGACGACATGGATTCAACAAATACAATCACATAAATATCTATCTTTACCAAGTTTTTGTATAAAAATAAGATAACAACATGAATATTTATAGACACCCATTGATAAAATTCATCAAAACCTACCGTTTTGAAGACAAAAAATAAATTTGGACTAAAATTAGGCCCCGTATGGTCTTGGGCCTAAGGCCAGGGCCTCATTTGCCTTGCCTCATGATCCGATACCCCACAAGAGTGGCAAAAGGAATACACTCACCCATAGGCATGCAGCATTTAAAAGATATGTCAATTACTAGTTTTCAACATTTTAAATATTGTTTAAATTGTAAGAGTTTAAGTTGATAGGGATTAGTGCATGTATTCAAGCAGTAGCCTGTATAATGCACCCATATCAGAATTCACAATAGATATCTTCTTTCTTGTAGTTCATGTCGAGATTATTTATTATAAAAATCTTTCTAACATACCAGCGTCAAAATCCTAAATGAATTGCTGAATGGCACCTGGAAAGAATACCAAATAAGAGAAATCATGGCGGGTAACCAAAATCAACAAAAAAAAAAAAACACACAAAAAATAAAAATCTAATCTAATATAAACTACTAAATTGAAATTAAATTCATTATTCCCCAGCAATGGTGCCAAAAATTTGTTCGTAGAAAATTTGTAAGCGTACGAGATCGTTGTACAAGTAATAAAATTTGTGAGTTAAAGAATATCGTTTCCACGATGAATAGGGTCTAATATCTAGTTCAATAGTTTTTATCAAATTCGAGGTGTGGTGATATCAAAAGAGTTGTGATTTATATATTTTCTATACTAATCCTAAACTAACAAATCAAATAAGCTATTTATCTAATATGTGAATGTTTGTATTAGAATCGTGAATCTCCCTATTATCATTTAATTAAATTGTTAATTCGTAATATAGTAAATTCGTGCATTCAAAATAATTGATAATCTACTTTTATTCAATATTATTTTCCAAGATATATTAAACCTATGTTTACCACGATCCGATTATATTCCTAGTCCGAATTCATATAAAAAAACATGCGATTCACAGGATTTACCACACGTGACTTCACATGCCATAGATATTATTCCTAACACCTATTGCTCATGTGTGATTATGCCGCATTCTAGACTTATTGTGAGTATTCCTACACCACAAAAAGCAGCTTGCTATCTAATTGGTGATCAAACAATCATATAGTTCAATGAGAATGCAAAACCAATCATAAAAATCATGAAATACTAAATTCTTTGTCTTGAATTAAAAAAAAAATAATTGGGTTCATCATTCATCCAACACAATGAAAACTTAGTCTGACTTTCTTATAATTAAATTACACAAGAATAATTTGAAAAAATCACTCGAAAATAAGAAAGATGGAAGAAGTAGGACAAATCCATGTTCTTGGCTCAGATTTTGAAATCGATCTATGTAGGGGTGGATGCAGACATTTTAGTTTAGGGGTTCACGATCAAACTTTCAAAAAAATGATGAAAAATAAAAATAAGAAATATCTTATTACAATTGTTGTCTATGTGTTCTCATACTTTGATAACGTTCACTAATTACATCATTTTCAATCTTGTCAAAAACATCTTTCCCAATGTATGCAATCAAACTATCATTCACCCATTGATCTCCAATTCGGTTGTGTAGACGATTTTTGACGTAAGTCATCGCAGAAAATGCTCTCTCAACTACAACAGTAGCCACAAAAAGAACTAAAGCTAATGTCAAAAGCTTGTAAACTAATGGATACACCTCATGTTTATTCTTCGCGACCAACTTCTGCGCAAGAGCACTAATGCTTTGCAGTCCTTCCAAGTCTTCAGAAGTACACATATCAAGAATATATGTATCTAGTTGATTATCAAGTTCTATGATATTTGCTGCATCAAAATCTACCGAATAATACTGACATAGTCGCATCACTTTGGTCTTATCAAAAGTAATAAATGAATTATTTGGTGACAAACACGCAACACAAAGGAGAAAATCACTATTTACCTCAGAAAAACGATCATTCAACTCTCGAAGTTGCATATCAATGACGGCATAAAATATTTCTACACAAAAATGATGTAAATTTGTGACTGTCTCACGTTGTGAATGATCTAGAGTTATGAACATATCATTCATATCGGGAACATTGATATTGTGAGTTTCACATAATGAACAAACCAGTCCAAAAAAAGAATCCCATCCATCATCCCTCATGGTTTGGAGCTGGGCTTTACATATTTCCATTAATCTTATAGCATTGACAATATCTTGATCTTTTCTTTGTAATGCCCTCGACAATTCATTTGTAATCCCCTAAAATATTTTTCATAAGATGTAGATTAAATGCAAATTCAAATCTTAACATCAATTTCAATGAGATACATGCATCACCTCTTGTTCTGATACTTGTAGTGTCAGTAGCAATCATCTCAATAACGTCGACTATGGTTGAAAACATGACAATTAAGTTAATTAAACAATTAAAGTGAGAGCCCCAACATGTATCACCAGCGACGCTGAAGTGTAATTTCTTGATTGAGACTCGGTCCGCTTGATATTTCACCAACACTGAGTGATTTAAGAATTTTCAATTTTCGGTTCTCTCGAAAATGATCACTTCGTTTAGCTGATCCCCCAACAACATTCACCAATTTGTGTACCATAGTGAAGAAAGTTTCAATCTTTGGATGTTTTTGTGCCACGTCTACAAGAGTTAGTTGTACTTGATGAGCAAAGCAATGAATGTAGTGAGCACGAAGGTTTTCTTTCAAAATAAGTGTTTTGAGGTCATTATACTCACTCATCTATTACTAGCTCCATCATATCCCTGACCTCTCAAATTAGATATGCTTAAGTTGTGCATAGAGAATAATTGATCAATTGCAGCTTTAAGTAAGGTAGCTGTAGTACTCAAAACATGAATGACACCAATAAAATGTTCCAATAGACACCCATTCTTCACATAACGAATGAAAACTGACATTTGCTCCTTCACTGAAATGCCTCGAGATTCATAAACTAAAATTGAGAAGAAATTATCACGAACATCTTTGATAATCACATGTAGACATTCAGAAGCAATAGCACTCACAATATCCTTTTGCACTCTTGGAGATGTTAATTTGAAATTCTCGGGTGCATTCATCAAAGCAACGGCCTTAATCTCAGTATAAAGATCACATAACCAATGCAATAGTTCAAGAAAATTTCCCTAATTGTTTGAATCTTCAGATTCATAATGTCCACGAAATGTCAGCTCTTGTTGTAGAAAAAATCTAATACAATCAATGGATGCATTCAATCGAATTCGATAATCTTTTCGAGCTTGATGCAATTGCTTAACGAGATAGGTTCGAGTGCTTTGTTTTTTATTCTTGAACATTTCATATTTGATCCGAGCTTAATTTTGTGCACTACTTGAAGTCCCAATGTGTTTTCTAATATATTCTTTCATTTTCCAATTTGAGAATTCGTCTTTAACAAAAGAACCACCACTCGAACTGAAAAGATAGCTGTAAAAGCAAAAAACTACATCTTTTGTTACCCATTATACCACGAAACACAAAATCACATGTCTTTGTTATCAATTCTTGTGGGTGGAAACGCATGATTGCAAGGGTGACAAGAAGCCCTTTGCACATATGCTCTTCGAATCACATCTCGAACATCAACATCATAATTATGTATTGGAACTCTTAATCCAAGATCCAAGGAAAGTCGTGCAACATGAACATTTCCAATATCCCCAACATCTCTAACATCAACATCAACATTATATTCGTTCATTTTCTCTCGAACATTCCTTTCACTTTGCTCATCACAGGAAAGCGTAAATTTACGTTTAAAGTATTTGTCCAAAAATGATACAAACAAAAAATCGACAAGATTAGAAATCCCTAAACTAGTTTCTTCTTCTAAATCATATTCAAACAAAGTTTCAATCTTCCTAAATCAATTCACATATAACTAAGAAAGCCCTAAATCGAAAATCGCTAAATTCCTAAACCAAAAATCCCTAAATTGAAAACACTAAATCAGGAATGAGTTGTATATGAATTACTGATAAGTGTGTTTTGCACACTTATTTAATACCTAAATATGCTTATAATTGATAAAATAAACGAAATTCTACTCACAATTAACTAACATTTGCTTTTGTAGGCTAAAAATTACCCAAGGAAAGAGAACAAGCCAAAAGTGAGTGAAAATGGGGCCAAAAGCGCACAAAAATGTGAAGTTGGAGATCAAAGTCCACAAGTGCCAAAAGTTGGGGATCTAAGGTTGCAATTTTTGGAGGGCGTGATTGAAAGAAAAGTCAAAATTTGAGGACTAGACTATACATGATCAAAGTTGAAGGGGCACTGTGTGTAATTCAATAGAGGACTAAGTCGGAAAAGGAAATGAAGAAAGTCTGCGCTCGCGCGCAAGCTTATTATGGTGCTCGCGCGGGAAGTAGTTCATGATTTACCAAGACCAAAATGTCTCACGGCGGCGCGCGCTGCCTTTTAACTTGGCAATTTTACCTATTTAGCATAAATTTCAAGACTTCTTCCGCAATTTTACCTTAGAAGATTTTTGGCCATTTAAATACGATTTTGTTGGTCAATTCTAGGGCTTCTTGGGCTGGGTCTTCTTCCTCTTTCATTTTTCTTTTACTTTTCTCTCCTTTTCTTTTTCTTTTTCTTTCCATTTTTCTTGGTATTTTGGAAGTAAAATCAAGAGCACAAGGAGAATACACATTCAAGGAGGTAGAGAGATTTTAGGAAAATCAAGTTCAAGCCTTTAACATCTTTAAAAAGCCAACAAAAATTGTTATATCTTGAATCTTATATTTTCTTCACTATTATCTTCTATTGGCAATATATTGTATTAAACATTTTCCTTTTTATCATATATTTAACATGGGCAAAATATTTGTGTTGAGATTTATGATAGTAACTTAACCTAACTTTTAATTAATTTTAATATTTGCTCTTTAATGTTAAGTTATTTATTTTCATATGTTTTTACTATTGTTATTATTGCATTTTTCATTTACGTGTCCAGTGAATGATTAGTTTAGAAATTTGTACATCGTTCAAAATAAGATTGTACATTTTAGACCAAATAGTAGAAATCATAGGTTTGTGGAGGGGATAGAGATATACCGCTAACTCTAGATGACCCAATGAGCTATTTTCACAAAGAGTAAATGCGGTTATTTAGTTTTAATCGACGTAAAGATATATTAGATTAAACCAATAATTAGGATTAATTTCACTCGAGAGAGGTAATTAACTAAAATTGAAATATCGGGTCTAACATCGTAAATGAGTAATTTTTTAATTGGCTTGCGGAGAAATTAATTAGGTGACGGTTAAACGAAACCATAAATCCCAACCACGTTTCTTCCAAAATTTCCAAATGTTTATGTTTTCCTATTTTGTAAATTTTTGGTTAATTTCCTTATTTCAAATTATAATTTTAATTGTGTATGTCTTTCTTTTTATTGTTAGAATTAAATTAATTAAAGTTGTGTAATCAAAGGTAAAACATTCCTCGAGGAATCAACAACTTGGACACGAAAGGTCCATTCTATTACTTGAACGTGAATTGTGCACTCGCGGCTTGCACTTTTAGCGAATAAGTTTTTCGCGCCGTTGCCGGGGAATATCTTTACTTTGATTACTACTTTAGTTTTAACAATTTCTTTATTTGTTTTTAATAGTTTTTATTTTTGTATATTTTGGCTACCCCTCATATTGTTAATTCATCTAGTATTGGTATTCTCTCCTTCTGCATTTCAGTTATATTTGCATTACTTCGATCTTGGTAAAGTAAAAAAGTTTTTTGCAATGGATATCTCTACATTGATTAAGGATATATGATTGGAGTTCCAAGATGTGAAATTTGTCAAGCGGTGCATTGTACAGAGCAATGCTTGTTTCATGCACCGATACCTTAATATTGAAACTTCTTTGATTTAGACAATATTTAAAATGTCGAAAACAAGCACTGGACAATTTTGATGATAGTTACATGCTCACGGGAGATTATGTACCTGATGATTGGGACGAGGACATCAAACTTTCGGGAAATGGTCCTCCATTTTTAAACGAGAGGGTACTTGCAAAGTATTACAATGAACTTGCAAAGTTGGATGAAGAAGACATGTTAGTGGGAGATTACAAATATTAGGATGGCATTCAAAAATTGGGGTATAATTCACTCAATGGGGTTAATAGGAAAGACTTGTCATTGCCCCTGGAGTTTGATGACAAACCGGTTATTCAATCCGATGAAATATCAACTATTGAAGAAGAGATTGAAGAGAATGAAAAATTAATCACAACGGAGCTATACAAGGATGTGGCAATCAACGAGGAGAAAATCAACTTACATTCTTCCAACTTAGTTGACCGTCAATATAGTGATTTTGTGATTAAACCCGATGAGAAAGTAGAAATATTCATAGTTGAATTTAAGTTGGATGAAAAGGCAAGTCATATTAAATGGAGAGGGGCAATGTTGAGTTTTGGAGATCCAATGAAGAGTGAAAAAAGCCAAAAGAAGAAAAATGGGCAAGGCATCTGAAGCCTTCTTTAGGTACCCATGATTTAAAGGCCAAAGTCGAGTTAAAAACTATGAAAAAAAAAAGGCGCTTGTTGGGAGGCAACCCAACTTTTTAACTTTTAAGCTTTCTATTTATTTTTATGAATTTTCTTACTTTTATTTAATTAGCTATCATTTTTTGTAGGTAATTTTTGAAGTCCCACATTTCAATGGTCCCTAACAACGTTGGGGGTAAATTGGTGTACAAGAAACTCACTTGACCAAGTTCACCAAGAGCATCCCAAGCCCAATTCAAACATTGGTTCTTCTTCACAAATAAACAACCGGGGAAGTTTCATTATCCCCTCTCCTCTTTATCTTGTTCTTTACACACTGAGGACAATGTGTGATTTAAGTTTGGGATGATTGTGCTTAAATTGATGATGTTGTATTGACATGTTAGACAGCCTTACCGGCTTAGGATTGCTTAATGTTTAAAATTATTGTTGACTCATGAGTTATGCATGATCAAATATGCTATTTGTACCTAAATTTTTTGAAAAATTGCTTATCTATTATAAGATCATGAATTGCTTTGAGCACAATAATTATGATTAATTGTTATTTAGATTTGGAAAATTTTTTATTGATAGAGAGATTTTTGAATTGATTGACCTAGGTCGTGAATTGCCTGAAACTTTATATCAACCTATACTCTCTCCTCTTTCACTTTACCATATTGTGAGAAAAGTTTAGGGGTGGTTGAAATAATATTATCTAGAAGTGTGTGGTTTCGTGCATGGTGAAAATATTTGTGTGGAGTGTCTTTTGCCAAGTATAAGCTAGGTAATAACCATATGCTCGGGATCTAAGACCCATTTTTATTGTGTGAAAAAAATGAAAAAAAATGTTGTACTTTTTGAATCCAAGGCCTCATCTGTAGCCTTTTTTACTCAAGTTATTATGTCCATAGGGGTATCTCAAAATCCAATACCCTTTGTCCTAAACAACTGGACAGTTTTTCACCTAAAGCTCGCTACAAGGATCAAGAAAAAAGCTTAAGAGAGTGGGGTAAAACAAGGGATTTGGCTAAAAGAAAGAGAGAGAGTGAGAGAGAGAAAGTTATTGTTGTGCAATTGTATTTGATATTTGGGCTTAAATAACTAGTGGATTTGAATTACTTGATATAAGCTTGAATGTGGAAACACTCATTAGTGGAGAATCAACACATGACTAGATGTTGAGATTGCCAGTTAGATCCAACCAAATTAGA